TCGCCGTTGCGCACCCGCACGTACTGGTGGGCGTGCAGGGTGGCATGACAGGCGCAACACAGCTTTGATGACCTGTGTTCGTCCACCACCACCACCCTGCACACCCGCCGCAGGCGCCGCAAGAAGCGTATCCAGGGCCCAGGCGGAGTCCCCCGCATGATGCCCCCTCTGTCCTGGGCCGACCAGTTGCCCACGCCCACGACGGTGGTCATGCCGGGGGGCGCGCGGAACTGCTCCGCCAGCCGGTTGATGGCCCGCTCCCTGCCGACGTAGGCCTGGTGGCGCACCTTCCGAAATGGCTTCAGGTGCATGTGCCAGGCCAGGCCCTCTCGCAGTTTGGGGACGATCTTTACGACCCGCGACAGGAGCATCTCTGTGCTCGCTGTCTTATAGGTCGGGCACCTGCGGGAAGATGGGTTTGAGCAAGAGGGTTGGTACGGTTGGAGCGATGCGAGGTGTCGTGACACAGTGCCTGCCCCTGCAGGGCATACCCCTGCATTAACTCCACAAACCAATCACCACTCACTGGTGCAGCTCCTTGACGAAGTCTGGGGCCTTTGCGTGCCACTTTGCGATGGTCTTCTCCCGCCGCTTGGACCCCGACATGGAGTGGAACTCCTTGGAGGAGCAGGATGTCACGTTGGCGTGTTCGTCCACCGCGGTGTACATCTTGGTCCGCCCAGGGTCGATGCCAACATACATGTGTATCTTGGCATCCTCTGGCGGGCGGTCCCGCCTGCAAATTTTGTGTAGGGGGGGTGGTGGTATGGGGTGAGTTGTGTTGTGGGAGCGCGGCACGTGTGGGTGGTTGGCGGGTGAGCGGGTAGTTGCATACGGTAACGCACGCCGCTGCTGGTAAACAGCACACCCGCAGTCGCTCCCAGAAACGGAGCAGCCAACCACCCCGCACCACTTGCAAGCGTCCCAGACAATCCCAGTAAAATGTCGACAAGCCAGGAGAGCCATCCCTAGCAGCACACACCCCAGTGGTACAGTCACGGACCGCTCACCGGTAGTATTCGTCGGCGATTCCCCTGCCCTGCGGGGCGCCCAGGGGCGCCCCGCTGCGGGTGCGCTTGCCGCTGGTCTTCGGGGGGTCGGGGGGGCGGGGCGGGGGGTCGCCGGGCCGGGGGGGTCCTCTCGCCCGCCGCAGGGTGACGGTGACGCTGTAGCCATTCGTCCGCCAGTGCCCCGCCGAGTACCAGCCGCAGCCCTCAAACCGCCGGAAGTTGAAGAGGAGGGCGAAGAATGCCCAACCAACATGGACGAACCAGTCGGTCTTCTTCTCGCCCGTCTCGCCCGTCTTCTTCTTCCCCCGCTTCCCCTCTGCGTCCACCTGGTACTCCTCCGCCTTTCTCCGGAGGCAGGCCTCGATGGCCTGTTTCTTCCTGGCGGGGATGCCATGAACCTCCTCGAGATTGAGGAGTTTCAGTGCCTGGGATCGGCAAGATGTGGGTGGGGCGGGTGTGAGCGAGGAGGAGTCGGGGCCTCACACACCTCTGCTGCACCACACGACCCCCATACCCTGGGTCCACGGAGCATCGCGGGACGATCCTACAGTTTATTGTTCCTCCCCCCCCCTTCCCCCCCCCCCACCACCACCACGACTACAAAAGTAAAGGAGTGGCCTGTGCTCACAGTGTAGATCTACAAAACACCTCTGCACCACCCATACCCCTCCCTCCGCAACATGCGGTGCTGATCCTCACCTCGGGCACGGTATACATTCTCCACTCCTTCTCGGTGGGAATCTGCAGCCCCGTCAGCTTCTCCACGCCGCCCCTGTCAAACTTCTCATGCCGGCGCAAGAGGGCCCACAGCGTCGTCAGGGTGCCGGTGATGTGCACCGCTTCAAGGCCATGCTTGCAGGGCAGGAGGCTGAACAGCCGCCCGATGTGCCGCTCCTGCAC